TGGGTTATGTTTCCCTTTCTTTCTCTTTTCTACCTATTATACTTAACACTGTCAAAATTTTCTTCTAATCAGGTAGTTTTTATGCATTTATTATCAGTTGAATGTTGTCATTATTTATAGTCTGTAATGCATGTATAGAAAATAATATAAAATGCAATCATACGTGGATCTCAGAGAGAGGATAAACAGGTCTCTGGCATTTTCAGATGTACTACACAAGTAGTACATGGTCACAGTTCCCATGTCTTAAAAGACCTTACTTGATACATCTCAGTCCCTTGACCGTAACATTTTTATTTTTAATATTTTATTTGGCATAGCAATATTGCCTCTTCAAGGTGACAATATGTTTTAATGGTTAAGGGAAAGTGACTAGCTATTTTCTGCGGTCTTACAGAGACAGTGAGTAAAAACCACAGCATAAAGGTTGACCACTTCCTCATAGTGAAAATCATTAATATGAAATGGAGTTTTCTCCACCCAAAACTGTATAATCCAATTTTATCTGCAGTTATTTAAAATTAAGTGACACATTTATTTCTCTTAGTGGTTAAGTTGTCTGTGGCTAAGGACATAGGGATAGAATAATCGACCTCCCTTAGTTATCTTGAGCACTCTATGAGTCCAATTCTGCAACATGTAAAAACAAACTCTTTACAAGTTGAGTAAAAAGTCACAGATTTTGGACAAGATCTCACCAGGAGAACATGTCATGTTGGCAGGGAGGCAGGTTTTAAATGAGGCATATTCTGCATAGAAAATAATCACAATGGAATACACTGAGTTTTCTTATCTTATATTTTTTAGACCATGGTCGCATGCTTTCTCCGCAAATCTCCCCTGCTCTGTTTTATTTTGAGCAAGGAATTAAACTGAGTTTTTCATCCCCTCATCAGCCTTATGAGAGAAGCAAATACATTTTTAATAAATAGAGAAATAAGAGTATTATGAATACAAATTAACTATCTTATTCTAATAGTTTCTATAACTCCACCCTTAAAATATGTCTTCTTTAATTATCTTAACACAAAGTTTCTGACTGAGTGCAGAATAGTTTTTCTTTATTTTATACACATAGCAATCTGATGATTATACAAAAACTAAAAATCAAACCAGTTCCCATTGAGTTGTTTCCAACCTGTGCTGATCTCTTAGGTAGAACTGTGCTCCACAGAGTTGTCCATAGCTCATTCTTTGGAAGTAGATTGCAAGGACTTTCTTCTAAGGCATCTCTGGGTGGTCTCAAACTCCCAACCTTTCAGTTCATAGCTGAATGCTTTAACTATTTCTACCACCCAGAGACTGTAAGTGGTAATGTAGTTACATACTGGAGTCAAACCCAAAACAAAACTCACTGTTGTTGAGTCGATTTGACTCATAGCGACCCCTCCTTGGGTTTCCAAGGTGTTATCTCCACAGAAGTAGATCACCCAACCTTCCTTCCGAGGAGTGGCTGGTGGGTTTGAACTGCTAGCCTTCAGGTTAGCAGCCAAATGCCTTAGGCACTATGCTACATACTAGAGTAGATTAATATTGTTTTCAAAAACAAGTAATCCAATATTCAAATTTATGAAAATGTTGTCAAACATCGGTAGGATATAGAAACACTCCATCCATCAACTCCCTTTCTCACTGAAATCCAAGTAGACTGTAAAATGGTTTATTACAAAAGTCTGTAAAATATTAAGAATCTGAGATATACAATTGTACATAAAATATCTTAAATTTTACATGTGCAGGCTTGTATTCGTGGCTTTACAATTCACATTCACACATTTACATTTTCTTAGAACCTCCAAATAATGATGTAATGCATTCATTATACATTTGGTGTTTCAAAATCTCACAATAGTGGTAAGTAGGAAGACTTTGTGTTGTTTGCTATTTTTCTTACCTTGAAAATAGCCAGGGTATCAGTGCAGCATATTTCTCATAGAGATATATTTACCCCCTTGACTTGCTTTTTTCAAAAACATTTTCCAGAAGTAAACAAGAACTATTATTCCACAAAGTTTAAATGTTTTTTAGGTGGAATTAAAGCGTGCTAGAACATAAGTTGATTTCTTAACTATAACAAAGGAGCAAGTTCTCATCTAAAAACAAAGAACAAAATAAAACAGACAAAAAATCT